CAGTTATATAGCTCCAGAACCTTCCCTAGAAATTCAAGAACTATGGATGGTGGCTGCTGAGGGGAAAGAACAGGAGGAAAGGAAGGGAAGCTGAGTCTGGATTGGGGGTCAAATCAAACCATGAAGGGGGGACCTGGAGCCTTGTGAAATTCCCTGGAGGAAGTTTGCTGACACAGAGTGGGCACAGACCTAACCAGGAGCAGTAGGAACTCAGTAAACTCAGACCCAGGAATTTAGAAACACTGCAATTGGGGTGGTGTGGATATCAAAAGACCTTACTCTCCCATATTTGGAAGCGATAGAGAAGCCAGGCTCAGCATACCATACCCCTTAAAAAGTCTTACAGCAGTGGCCCTCCCTGGTGGCACAGCAGGTTAAAGCACTGCACTGAGAATCTAGGGCCTCTTCCGCATAAGTTTGATTCCCGCCTGCCCCGGAGGTGACCACATGGCGTGGCAGACCTCTCCTGGCCCGTCCGCTGCTCCCCTCAGCAGTGTACTTCGTCGATCTGCCTGTTCTGTTTCCCACTCTGTCTCTGGTGAAGCCTCTCACCGCCCCTGAGCTTCTGGCCTGTACTCCAGTTCTGTATAAACGGATTAAAAAAAAAAAAGTCTTACAGCAGAAAGGACTTTAGAGTTTATTTGTGAATGCTTTGTGAAAGTAAACAAAGGGTGTTTGTGTATGCGAGCCCAATAGAAGTTGCAGTTGAGACAGGGCAGCAGTGGTCATAGTGGGCAACCATGGTATTAAGTCAGAACACATTTGCCCAGTATACACACACCTCTGCCTTTGGACCAAATATAAATTCATCCTGGAGCTTAAGCCAGGTGGTCCAGACCTTATAATTCTCAGCAGGAGATCCAAATTTCTTAGGTCACTCTGCAGAAAGGAGTAGGAGCAAGGTGGGGTGTAAAACTAAACATAGAATACAGCTTGATGTGTAATAAATGAAGAGGTAAAGGTAAGTAAAGTCACCTTTCTGAGACTGAGCATTGAATTCCCAGTATTCCTTCCTATTTCCACCTCCAGCCAAGATAAATTAAAAGAGAAACAAAGTTTAATCCCCAGCACCCCACCTTCACACCACTATCCCCAGATATAAATACAACAATCTGGGCTCTCCCTGGTGGTGCAACGGGTTAAAGCACCGCATTATGGAGCTCTCTGAAGCCACTGCAGCACAAGTTTGATCCCCAGCCAGGGAGCTGACCCACATTGCATGGCAGACCTCTTCTGATTCGCCCGCTGCTCCCCTCAGCAGTGTACTTTGTCAGTCTGCCTGTTCTGCTCCCCACTCTCTCTGGTGAATCCTCTCACCTACACCTCTGTCCTGTGCTCCAGTTCTGTATGCATAATAAACCTTTGAAAAAAAAATAAGGCAATCTACATACTTAGGAAGAAAGAAACACCTCAACACAAGATAGAAAACAAAATGAGGGCAGAAATCCTGGGACAAACATAAAGATAGAAATAGAAAATCTTTGTGACAGTGTCTTCAAACAGTAGCAAAAATATTAAATGAGATACTGGAAGTTCAGTCACAGGCAGATAAGCAGGTGCTAGACCACAGAAAAGAGATCCAAAGACAAAATGAATTGTTTTATAGATTGAATACATAAAAAGATTACAGAGATTCTAAATGAAATGCAGACAAATATAAAAAATGTTTTAAACAGAGCTAAACTGGTAGGAGAAAGTTTATTTGTCGAAGACTTAAATGAAAAAACTACACATTTAGAAGTCAGGACAAAAGAAAAATGAGGAAACTATATGAGAAATATCTGCCTCAATTAGAAGAGGTGGCCTAAGAATCATTGGGATTCCAAAAGGGGAAAGAAATGGGAGCAGAAAACCTATTCAAACAAATAATAATTGAGAACTTCCACAGAATGAATTAAATATAGATGTCTGGGCCCTCCCTGGTGTGCAGTGGGTTAAAGCACAGCACTAAGAAGCTAAAGCCACTGCAGCATGAGCTGGACCCCTGCCCCTGAGGTGATCCACATGGTGCGGCAGACCTCTCCTGGACCACCCGCTGCTCCCATCAGCAGAATACTTTATCAGTCAGCCTGTTATGCTCCCCATTCTGTCTCTGGTGAATATTCTCACTGTCCCTGCACCTCTGGCCTGTACCCCACTTCTGTATGCATAAATCTTTATAAAAAATATATAGTTGTTCACGAGGCAGAGAACACTACTCAATTTTTAAATGCAAATGCCCTACACTCAGACTTCCAAACTGTCAAAAAGATAAAAGATTTTGCAGGATGCAAGGAAAAATATACATTACAAGGGATCCCAAATTAAGATTTCCCTGGATTTCAGCTCAGATGCTCTCTAATCAAGATGAGTGTGGAAGGAAATATCTAGAATCCTGTAAGACAGTAACTGCCAGCCAAGAATTCATTATACTGCAAAATTATCACAAAGTATGAAGTTGTAATAAAGGGTTTCTCAAACAAAAAGACGCTAATCCCATTGCTAGACTGCTTCAAGAATTACTCAAAGAAGTTCTACAAGAAAATAAAAATGAAAACAAATTGCTGCAAAAAATGACTATAACAACATAACATAGAAGCATGAGCAAAAATACTGAGTCAACAACAAAACACTAAGTGGGAAAAAATGGGCAAAATCTATATGGTTGAATGTCAAAGAGCAGAAACCAACTCACAGATTCTAAAATTCAAGAATTTAAGTACCCATTACACAAAATCCAGAATAGACATATACAGATGAAGAAGCAAATAAATTGATAGAAATAAGGAAAGTCATCCAGAAAGAGTAGAGAGAAATAATGGTAAAAATAAACAATAGGATAAAACAATGAAAACCAAAACCAGAATGACTGATAACAAAAATTTCCTATCAATAATCACCCTAATGTGAGTGATCTGAATTCATCAATAAAGATACAGGCTAACAATGTTAGTGAAAAAAATTCTAGACATCAATACTTGGTTTACAAGAGGGACACATTTAAAACAGAAAGACACAAACTAAAAATAAATACCTGGATAAAAGACCACATATGTCAATAACTCAAAAATTAAATCAGGAACTGGTATTCTCATATCCAGTAAATTAAAGAGTTTCAAAAAGTTAGTCAGAAAAACAAACAAGGATATAGAACAACACGTCATTGATTTTAAATAAATAGGTAAACAGGGACAAAGTTAGAAACATGTAATGATTAAGGGGAAAATTCACCAAGAATATATGACATTTATGCTCCAAATATAGGAACATCTAATTAAAGCAACGATTAACAGATCTAAAACACATCAATGTAATACATTCACTGCTAGTGACTTCACCATGCCATTGGCATAAAAGGACAGATCATCTAGACAAAAAAATTAACAAGAAAATAAGGGCCTTTAATGACGTATTAGAACAGATGGACTTATTCGGCAGTTATAGAACTTTCCATCCTGAAAGCAATGAATACACATTCTTCTCTAGTGCACATGGAGCATTCTGAAGAATTTATCATATACTAGGAGATAAAACAAATCTCAGAAAATAGACTTCACAGACCACAATGCTATAAAGCTAGATATCAACTATAAAAAGAATCCTGGAACCCACAACTCTTGGGCCAATAAAGAAATCAAAGAGATAAAAAAAATATGGAGAAGCAAGCTATTAGGTCCTACGGGATACTTTAAAAGCAGTACTATGTTGGATGCTTATAGAAATACAGGCCCACTCTCCCCAGAAACTTTGACCCATATTTTTAGGTGAAATCTATTTGGACATATAAAGGCAGCCTGTGCTCGTAAAATCTGTATTTCTTTAAGACAATCATTTATTTCTATCATGGACTAAATTCTAATTTGGCTAAGATTTTCCAAGCCCAAATTTTATAAGGAATTAAAGTAAATCTTTTTACTTTCTTCAGTTCCACTGTAGCCATGAATTATTGGAATCTTTCTTCACAGGGGCCCTTGCTTCCTCAAAAGTACATTCTCCACACGTGCAGTATGATCTTCAAAATGTAAATCACATTACATTGCTTCCTTCCTTAAAAATCTCCAGAGTCTTCCCATTTCAAATTCCCATAGGTCTTAACTCTATCAGTATCAGTATACTTATCACAGTCCAACCAGAATTTTTTCCGTCTCAGGTTATTTGCATGTTTTTCTGACTTGAATTCTCTTCCACAAGTTCTTCATGACTAGTTCTTCTTGACACTCTTATCTCAGTTCATATGCCATGACCTCAATTAAGGACTGCCTATTATCTATTCATCCAAGGCTATCAGCTTAAGTAGTTTCCAAAGTATATATAACAGAATTACATTGTGGGGGAAGGGGGTTGTCTAATACATTGTTACTCCTATGGTGGCAACTCATGGCATTTCCGAGAAATGCGTAAATGTAGGCTCCATTCCACAGCTTCTGAATCAAAATATTCATTTGAACAAGATGTTTAGGCAAACTATATAGACATTAAATCTAGAAAAGCACTGGTCTAACATGTAATGGATTTAGATTTCTTGTTCTTTTTGATAGTGATCATTATACAATAATTAACCTAATTAACAAGTCTTAATAGTGATTTATATTTAGGTATACAAATTCTGTTGAATGCTGACCAGTTTGATCACAGATTATATGCTTGCTCCTTTGCAGATATCTTTCGCAAATACTTGATTTAATACTTTTCCTTTGTAATGTATAGCATTCTATTGGGAACATGATTAGATGTACTCATTCCTCATGACTGTTACTTATGCAGTTTTAGAATTTTTAGTTTTATCTATAATACTAAATCTAAAATCTTACAATGGACACCTTTTCAGCATTGTCATAGTTTTAGCAAATAACATATATTTTTGAGTAAGAATCATAGTTTAAATTCTTAACTCATATAGTTGTCAAAGTAGAAAATTCAATTCAGAGGGCTAAATTGTCTATGAGCTCTTTTAAGTGAAAAGTTCAATAAAGAATAAACATTAATTGCAAGACAACTCTAAATAAATTCATTAAACCTTGAAATGCAATAAATGCTTTTTATTATATGCTCATTTCAATGAGTAACATTTAGAAATAATAATCCCACATAACAGTGACAATTTTATTTTGCAGTGTGTACATCATTTACAGCCACATAACACACAATTTTAGATATTCCAAATTTAATACTCTGAAGTTAAGAAAGATAAAAAATTTATTCTCCAGAAACTGATTCTTATCTGGTGCAAAAACAGAAAGGTGAACATTATTTGAAACACAAAGCCACGATATAGCATGAAGTAAAATTACATTTTAATTATGTTGAACAGCTGAGTGTAAACATGAAGCAACTAAAACTTAAAAGTACACATCATATGCATTACATTTAAGAACAAGATTTTCAATAAATTTCCCTAACCTGCTTTTTATATTAAGCGCCATTTTGATATGCAGCATGCTAACACAAAGCGTTGTTTAAAGGGATGCATATTTTAAATTTATACACTGTAAACTGAATGTCCACCTCCAAAGTCTATTGGCAGCATAATTGTTCCATTAATACTGAATACATACTGCCTCATACTGAAAAATGCATGTTAGTAAAATGGTATATAGATTTTTAAAATCAAAAATTTCAATAATGGCATAAAATTGCACCTTTAAACATTAGAACAAGATCAGAACAGTCATACTTGCTAAGACTGTCCTAAAAAAAAAATCCTCTCTAAACATTATAATATTTAAGAAAACTGTGTTCTCTCAATTTAAATTTTAGATCATTAAGAAATATAGTGCTAAATTAGTTTGCAACAGTCCTGTTGCATCCATTTTAGAAAGCCATATTTGAATCAAAATATCTGTTTTGTCATATATGCCATAGTGAACAATCAACTTGAACATCAGAAAAAAAGGGAACTTTAATCCACAGACTTCACCTTAGACTTTAGCACAGAATGCACTATTTTAAACATCCTATCCTGTGATAAAATCTTAGCAGCTCTGAATTTTTTTAATATCACTGAATTAGTCTAACCTGTTTTCCAGTGAAATTTTTTTTAATGAATACACAATATTTTTGCCATTTCTGGAATTCAATTTCCAGGTACCATACAAAAGGCTCAATGACTGGTAAATGTCTGCTTTTTAATCTCCTCATTCTCTGTTTCTAAAATTGCATAAAAGTGAGCCTTGCTTGCCATAGCAAAGCACTGATAAACCCCTCAATTATGTATGCTCTTTTCAAAAACATTTGTCCCTAACATGATCAGCCAATAAAGTAGTTATCTTTGCCTTTTCTTTCTCTAGTTTAATTATGCATATAATACTATTAAATAGACATGTTTTCCACAACCATTCTATGGTGCTTCTTAAAATTTTTAAGTATTTTCAAACAGCTATGATAACCCCTGTCAATTCAAATATCTTAAGATCTTTAATACAAATAGTGTAAAGTTTTGATTGAATATCAAGCTTTGTAACCAGATGAAATAGTTTGTGCAATTTTCCTCCCAACTATCAAATTTGATATCAAAATATCAAATTTTCAAAATAGCTTCTTTATTTTGATCTTATTACAGAAGAGCCTCTTTGTGGTGCCTCATAATATGCTGATTTTTTTCTGATGGTCTTCGGAACCCCTTCTTGCAGAATTCACACCTGTGTGGGTAGTCTTTTGTATGTATTGATATCACATGTCGTTTAAAGCCAGATGCATCTGTAGTGCTATATTCACAATACTCACATTGGTAAATCTTCCTTCCAGTGTGGGTCTTCATATGCTTTTTGAGCTCATTTTGTTGTCTGAACCCTCTCTTGCATCTTTTACACTTCAATGTCTGATCCTTAGTATGAACTGAAAGGATATGACCACTAAGAATAAATGGGTCTGATGTTTTAAAGTCACAGTGTCTACACTGATGAATCTTTCTACCCTTATGGATATCACTATGCTTTTTGAGCTCAGAAGGACGATGGAAACCTTTATCACAAACCTCACACTTGTGAGGAAAGTCCTTAGTATGGACAGATATGATATGCCGCTTAAGGTCACTTGAATTGGTGCTCTTATGGTCACAATGAGGACACTGGTGTGTCTTATGTCCTTGAAACAAATCCAGATGACGCTGAAGCTCCCTCTCATCACCAAATGCCTGGGGGCAATGCTCACATTTATATGGCAAATTGTTACCGTGCTTAGACTTAATATGAGTTTTCAGATTTGATTGATCTGCACACCTGAAGATACAATACTGACACTGATATGGCTTTTCACCAGTATGGGTTCTCATATGCTTTTTGAGTTCAGAAGGATGTCGAAAGCCCTTCCCACACTCAACACAGACATGAGGAAAATTCTTGCTGTGAACAGCCAATAAATGTCTGTTTAAAAGTCCTTGTTCTGCAGTTTCATAATCACAGTATTTGCACTTGTGTATCTTCGGCTCCTTGTCTCTTAGTATAAGCTTATTTGAACTCAATGGACTAGCCTCTCTGTATCTTCGTGTGTATTCTGTAAATTCGTGGGTTTTGTCAACTTTGTTTATAAGCTTATGGCTTTCTAAATGGTTATGAAAACTCACTTTCTTGTTAGTTGTAAAGTCACAATCTGTACACTGATATTTTTTTCTCATCAAATGGTCAGGATGATTCTTCATGTGTCTTTTCAAGAATCCCCTGGATTTAAACTTTTTTGTGCAAATATGGCAAGGATATACTGTCAGAGGCTGTCCATCAGGACCTATTATAACAGCTAGATAAAAAAAAAGTTGTTGTGATAATCGGACATTTTAAACTATTTTAAAGGGTTTTACAACAAAGATGCCATAACAATTAGCTGACATTCACTATGTGATAGTTATACTAGTGGAATAAATTCCTCTCAGATAAAATGCACACTGAAAGCAAATTATGATAAAGTAGCTTACTAAAAAGTGATTGAGCAGCACTCTACTCAGACTTCTTATACCAAAATGCTATATTACATGAACTTTGAAAATTAGCACAGGCACTCTTATTGCCAAATCTGAAAGTTATTTTTAAAAATATCATTTGGGTAAAGAGTAAACAGCATAATTTTAATCATTACTAGTCACAGAGTTTAAATATTACTTATATATAATACAAACATGTACATAAGAGTAGGATTACAGTATAAAAATTGACTTTTTTCCTTTGGATACCAAAAAATACATCCACATTTCACATCATTTCAATATTCTTAAAAGTATTCATATTTTTACCTGTTTGCCATTGCCTAGTTTCACCTCTTCTCCTCTTCTTGGCTTTTTGTTTAAGTACTTTATTTGTATTAATGCTTTCACAAATCTGAAGGTACTGTGCTGTTGTGCTACTTCTGTCTTCTAGTGTAGAATCCAAAGTATTTCCTGAAAAAAATTGATACACTACTAGACTAACACTTATTTATACCATTTTGGGTTTGGTCAGACAAATTACCAAATTACTAGAGATGACATGACATCAAGTTGCTATTGTGGTACTAAATTTTACCAAGTATAAGCATCTCCTTTTCTCTCTCCTACACACACACACACACACACACACACACACACACACACACACACACACACACACTTTAAATAGAATATGACATGAAATTAACTTTATAAAATTCCAACTTGTTCACCCTAATGGAGTAAACTGATAACGTGAATATAGCATAAGAAAATGAATTTCATGACCCCAAACAAAATCTTGGCATCAGTCATTTTTTCAACAATGAAGGCTAGTGAAATTAAAGGGATTTAAGCAGAGAAATATATATGTATCAGGGAACCAATAGTTACAAGTATGTATAATAATGTATAACTAACAAGACAGATCTCCTGTATATATGCTTTAGAAAAGTTCATGTGAAAAGTACTAAGGTTAATTTTAAAGGCAATTTAACCACAATTTCAGAGTGATTAGTGTATATAAAATAAAGTACTAAAAATATCACTAATTATAGATCTGTTGCTAGTCAACTTAGTTTGGGTATGTAAAGCTACAAAACTGCTTAGTTTATGTGCTATTACCTATGTCTATCATCAATTTCTCTGAAGCTTATATTAAAATTTAGAGTCAAATACCTCTGAAATATAGTAACAAAACAGTTGGCCATCATAAGCAAAAGTTTCCTTGCTTAAGAAATAATGAAACTATCAACTATGGAGTGACACTAAACGGATATATTAAAAGTAGAAAGAAAAGAACATTAAGCTGACACATGAGTTTTTAGTAACAATTTTATAGCTGGTTACCTAAGAAAATAGACCTGTCCAAGGAAGGCTCTGATTGATATTCTGAATAAATTTTACTTTTCTGTAAAAACAATTTCCATTTTTTTCCACAGCCACATTTTAAAGCCCATGTTGTTAAAGTGCCTGATTTGTATATTGAGATGAGTCTAAAATGAGTATCATTTATAGAATAATACACATTATTTGTATATAAATTAATCATTTCTCCAAAGGGATACACTTTTTTAAAGATTTATTTATGCTTAGAGAACTGGGGTACAGGCCAGAGGTGCAGGGGTGGTTAGAGGCTTCACCAGAGACAGAATGGGGAGCAGAACAGGCAGATCGACGAAGTACACTGCTGAGGGGAGCAGTGGGCAAGACAGAAGAGATCTGCTGTGCCATGTGGGTCACCTCCAGGGCAGGGGATCGAACCAGCACTGAGGAGGCTGTGGCTAACTTACAGTGCTGAGTACTAACCCACTGCCCCACCAGGGAGGGCCCCTAAAGGGATAAATTCTTATAAAATTAAGTAGATTAGATATGATAAGGCAAATACTGTTCAACAAATACATCTGTACACACAAACTAACAACTCTTTATTACCAAGCAATACACAAAACTGGCAATTTAAATTAAATCTCATATCTAATATCTCTCACCTGATGCTTGACAATCTTCATACCTACGGGAAACTCTTCTTTCATCTCCTAAAAATAAACACTAATTAAAACTGGTATATTGAGAATGATTACAAGTGGATCATATCATAATCTAGAAAACTTTACTTTGACCACCATACCTTCAGTTAATTTTTTGCTCCATTCTTCTACTCCCAAAGATTAGTTACTAATTTCAAATACTAAAAACAAGGGCTGCTGTAAGCATCTTTAAAACTCAATTATCTGGAATATTCTTCCTTTTTAAATAAAAACTGGGTAGTTCTGCAGAGTACCCTCAAAACTGAAAATGCTCTATAAATGACTGTTGAGTGATGAACCTTTGGAAAAACCAAGTTAAACTAAATTAATGCATATGAAACCAAACTTTTTCAAAATGAAGAGTATACCTGGACCATCTTGTAAATTAAATAGGAATGAAATAAAAGAGAGAGAAAGGAAAAAAAAAAAACTAGATAAATTTACCTTCCATTAAGTACTTTCTAGAAGAGCACACCTGGATTTCTGTTCCTTTTCAAACCCCAAAATCTTATTATTTGTTGTGCTAATACATGAAATAAATTTTCCAGAAAGGGAAGGATCTATTTTCAAGGTATATTCCTATTTTAGAAAAATCAAGAATCAAGCTTTTTAATGGCACCCATTTATACAGACAGGATTTTAAATAAGTCCTATTGAAAAACAATGCCTTAAGCAAGGTTCATTTAAATCACACAAGATATGTGGTAGAAAAATAATGTATGTAAATAGAGATGAATCAGTTCATAGCAAAACATTCTGTAATATTAGCCAACTCATGGTGGGGGGCATTAGCACAGCATATTTAATGAACTAAAGGCTGATCAAATAGGTTATGTAACTTATCAGGTGAAAAAATGCCAGTGTCCTACCATATGCCGCAGCCCAGACAACAGGGACAACTGTTTTATTAACATCAGAGTCCTCAAGCTGAGTCTCAGGGAGAGAAGTTCCTTCCTCTTCCCCTACAATGACTTCCATGTAAACTTCATCTGCTATTTCAGCGCAACCTAAATTTTAGAAATAATTGCTTGTTTATAACCCCAAATATTTAATAAATGGGTAAAAAATTCCAAACAATTTAAATCTTTCAACTCTCAAGATTTCAATTTGGTAAAGTGTTAAAAAATACACTTTTGGAGACTAGTGCCACTAGGACCAAAATCCTTATTCTCCTCTTAATACCTAGTCCTATGAAAATAGTTTTTTAATTATATAAAACATATATGTCTGAAATATACTGACTGATCTTACAATTCATTGGGCATTATAAACTTATAAGAAGGGTTATATTCCATAATTCTGCCTGATACTGCTTTGGAACCCAGAAAGTGTTTTCTACAGCATCAATACTAGAAAGTGGTCCATGCTATCTCACATACTGTAACTTAACTGCAGAATACATGCATGACAAAGTCAAAATTGAACAAAATAAATAAAATTTAAACTGCATGTGTGTATATATAAACATGCATACTCACATACACCCATATGTGTCTATCTCTATATATACACACATACACAAATACAGGCAAACCTCAGAGATATTATGGGCTTTGCTACAGATCAGTGAAATAAAATTATCACAATAAAGTGAGTCACACACATTTTTTGGTTTCCCGCTGCATATAAGTTGTTTATACTATAGTGTGCAGTAGTGCTATGGTTAAAGAAAACAATGTATATACTTTAATTAAATGTGAGAGACATGTGTTTAGATAGGAAAAATGGTGCCAACAGACTTACTCAAAGCAGGGTTGCCACAAACCTTCAATTTATAAAAAATGCAGTATCTGTGAAGCGCAATAAAGCAAAGTGCAATAAAACAAGGTGGGCCTGTATATAAATACCTATATCTTTGTAGAGAATATATATCTATATGGATGTAGAGATATATAGATTAATAAAATGACTGTGTTCAAAAATATGTGGAATACCCTTCAAGGGACAGGATTTTAAGAGACTCGACTGTGGAAAAAAGCATTGAGAGAGACTCCTTTTAAAAAGCAAAGTTTTGGTATGAAAAAATTAAACAGTTCCTTTAGTATATTTCATATTAAATAATCTGTTTAGAGTTAACCTCTTAATAGAAAATAGGTTCAAATCCATACTTTTCCCATGTGTCATACACTGGGATCATTTATTCATTACATAAGAAATGTGGAATGAATGTTGGAAAAAAAGTATTCCTCTTCTCCTAAGCTTCCCTTCTCTCCATTAGCCAGAAAGAGTAACTGGTCCAAGTTTTCTGTATTTCCATGGAATTCTGGTATCACCGAACCTAAAATTCAGTATCCCAGTTTCAATTGTGCCCTTTCCTAACCAATGAGTAAAGAAATACAAATTAATTTTAATCATTATACATAAAAATCTGTATATTGTACATTATGCTTACCACTAAAAGTCTAAAAGCATCCTTCATCATATAATTGACTTCTTTTATCTGATTTACCCACCCCCTTCCCAGTAACACCTAATTTTTCTTTTGTTTTGTTGATTCATTTTATTTCTGTATGCTCTACATGAAGGAAATCATGTGGTGCTTATCTTTCTTGATCTGACTTTTTAAACTAAGCATAATATCCTGTCGGTGCATTCACGTTATTAAAATAGCAGTTTTCCACCTTTTATTAAAAAATAGATGAGCAATCTTCCATTGTGTATAGACACCTCATCATATTTATCCAATCTTCTGTTAATTGGACTTGTTTCCTTTCCAACCAAATACTCTCAACTCATATTTTGGTATTTTCAGCTGTGGTATTCATGCTTGTAACTGGAATTCAGCTTGTAACCATTATGTTGTTAATGTCTGTATTCTTCTAGGGGAGGAAACTGAGGAGTGGGGGTAAAGTGCAGTTCAGGTAAAGCTGAAAAATGTCAAGTTAATGCATTGAGGTAGGGAATGCTGCCCTTTCATGGAAAAACAGTAGTATTTGTCTAAGTTTGGCAAGAACTATTAAGTTTCAAGGAAGGGTTATATTCCTACACTGTGATGAGGAGAAAGTAGAGAATAATTATTTTTTTCATATGGAAATGGGTAGAAAAGCAAGAAAGGAAATCTCAGAAGCTATTTTTTCCATTCTCTGGTACTCAGTCCCAAGGAATCTTAAAAACAGCAACTACTTGGGAGATCATGAATTGCATAATATTCTGGCAGCATGGTTTGTAAGAATACTTACTCAGCTAATCACTCAGTTTCAGAAAGAGAATAGTTAGTCCTTCCTGCTAACTATGGAGTCTTATTAACTTCAGAAAAGAGACCAATAATGCCTACTGCCATGTGGGAAAATCTCTGGCAGTACCGTTAGACATATTAAGAGTTCAAATTCTTCGATTTAATACTGGAATGATATTGGGCAATTACTTAACTTTGCTGAACATTTTTTCATTCCATAAAAGAGGGGTAATACCACCTACCTCAGAGATGAATTGTGAGAATTAAATGAAAAAAAATTCCCTAAGTATCTTGTGTACTCTACTAAAGTCAGAAACCATTATGTTGCTAATGTCTGTATTCCTAACATGTGAGACAGTATTTCATACTTGCAGAATTGAATGTGTGTGTGTATGTGTATGTATGTCAATAGAAGGTCAATAAAGACCGTTTTACAAGTAAGTACAGCAAAGGGTCAGCTTTATTTTATTAAAATTTGTTTCCAATATAGTACTTTTATATCTGAGATTGACTGATTTTTTTAAGAGAATGCATGATGGCTATTGGTAAGTTACTACAGTGTTTTTTTTTTCCTTACTGATATCATCTTCTTCTTGAGAAGAATCTTTAACTGCCATATAAACCATCTTCTCCCGTTGTATCCGGCTCTGGTCAAGAACTCCCGTAACAGAATGTCCATTGGTGTACTCACTCTCGGTGACAATTTCTGTTCCCCCTTAAAAATTGAAGCATATATAAAAATAGAGGAGCATCATGGCATAATTCCCTAAATTAATAAGGAGGGTGTATAAGAAGTATCTTCCTTGAGAACAGTTATTACTAAAAAAATGTTCCTACATAAATTTTGAAGTGTCAAAGAATTTTCTTACAAATTGTAACTTAAATATTCAGTCACCACTCAGAAATCAAAATAAATTTCTAACACATACATCACACTTATGTGCCAAGTAAGCACTGTAGAAGTCTTTTACATGTATTTACTCACTTGGTCTTCACAATAGCTCTGTGAGGTAGTTATCATTGTGGCCATTTTATGGAAGAGGAAAGAGGCAGAAGGTGGTTAAGTAACTCAAAAAAGTCCACTCTCCTAAGTGACACAACTAAGATTAAATTTACCTAGAACCTGCATTGTTTTAAACATCCAATATAACTTCCTACTCAAAACCAAATCCTCTGTTGTAATTTCTTTGGATATTTCAAATGTAATATTCTATTATGTTTGAAAGAATCTAAGAATATATTCTAAATTAACATTTTTCATTACAACTTTTTATATTCCATCCTCAAAGAAACTTATAAAACTTTGCAGTTTGAGTACAATTTTAGAATAGCAGCCAGAAAAAATAAGTTCTAATTATTAACTATATTAACAATGAATTTATATTAGTCTTTGTACCTATTTCAACATCATCTTCAGCCTCCGCTTTAAATATATATACTTTTATTACTTCTGAACCAAATCCGTCTTCTTTAACATCTTCTTGTGAACCATCACTGCCAATTTTTAATGGTGTGTTCCCCATGTGATCTAATTTTTCCCCAACATCATCCACTGTAAAATATAAAGATGAAATTTAGTTTAAAAAGTATCACTGCCAAAGTTTTAAACATAAGTGCAATGCAAAATATTGTGGTTATCACCTCTCCACTATATTAACTTAATGACCTATTATGCAATCATTAAAAAATTATATGCTTCATGAAAAAACTATATAACATGATCACAATTATATAAAAAACCTATTCACAGGATTCAATTTATATATATGAAAAACCATATTCAATTAAAATAGGAAATAACCTTCCATAAACTAACCCCAAAATAACCAAGAATATACACAGTATTCATAAAGTAAGTCACATAAGCAAAAACAATAATTATTAGATTAAATAACACTATGAAATCTAGGATTGGGAAAAAAGAAAAAAAAGATAAAACATTGGAATGATTTTATAAAAAGGAATTTTCTTTTAAAAAAGTATATATATGTATATTTATTTTACATTATTGTCCATTTTTGTACAATGTTTGATTTATCCTCTTGGTGTAGTTCCCATAAAATTGTCACCACCCAATTCACACATGAAACAGCACCTTAGTCCCTTATGCTCTTCCCGCCCCTTTGATCCCATCCCTCCCCTCCCAGAGACATCCAAAAAGGACTTTTCAAGCATCATCATGCAAATAAAATCTTAGCAAACTCTGAACTTCTGATGACTCAATAAAAGATAACTTCAAAATTTTATATATTTAGGGACACTGGTTTTACTACAAAATCAAAAAGTTAAAAGGGTGACGGTGGTGGGAAGTACATGGGGATTACAACTGAGATGAAAAAATGTACAAAATGAAGAATAATGTAAAAAATAAATTTAATAAAATAGTTAAAGCAATAATGAGAATATACTTACATTTTAATTATACTTTAAAATTTTGATTCTCAGCTATCTAGCTTTTATGAAAAACGTTCCGTTTTACAGGAATACTGGCACAGACGATGCAATGAGTATCATAATAAAAACTGTTCCTTGACCATAATATTAAATAATATATCCTCACAAATATTATATATCTGCCTTTTTTATTTTAATATTTATCACTGTAAAAAATAAAATGCAATCTAAATCAAAATGCCATTCTTCCTTAGTACATATATCAAGGTTTATGAATTTCTAGATGGGAATAAATTACAGTAACCTAGTGAAATAATAAAAATACTATTTTGATAGTCTTTATTACACTTCAGTGGTTGGAAGTGATCACAGTTCTTTCTGGGATAAACTAAATTACAACTGTAACTCACAAAATTAAAGCCCATTAAATGGACCACACATTTTTGCTCACTTTGCAATAGTTCTATATGTAATTTTTACATTAAGTATTGAAATTATTGTTGTTATTCTTATTGCACTATACCTTTCCTTAAGTACCAATTTAATACCTTCATTATTTTATACTTAGATTGATTTCTCATAACCCATTTGGAAACATATTGAGTAAATGAAATTGTTCTGTACTTTATATTGATAATAGTTATTAAAGAAATTAGTGTATAGTTTTAAGAAATAAACCATCAACTTCACTGAGATTTAGCCTATAAACTTGATTAATTAAGTAAAATATTAACAAAGACTTACTAGGTAATCAGTTGAATTTAGAAAAAGATCCTCAAAGATTCTTAATGCACATAGTACACAAAATATCCAAAATTAAAGCTTAACTTAAAGCTTTTTGTAAGGCATGCACTACTCAACTTTCACAGTATTTATTCTCAACCCACATGACATTTCAGCGAGAAATAAGCAGGTAATATTATACACACCACAGAATTCTATCTATTCCAAATGTAATATTAATAAAGGTGCATTGCTTGCCAGCATGGAAAGTTTTGTTAACTTTCAATATTCTTTCATAGCCCATTAGCACAATTTGATTAAATTTTTATTTCAACAAAATTTACAACAATCCTTTTAAAAGTAAGTAGGCTTTTTACTGTACCCAATTTATGGTACATCTCCCAAAATTATATGGTAGGTATCTTATCAGTATAAAATATACTGTATAACTAACTATAGGGATAGTCAGGCAATACTTAAGGTATCTACACTCCACAATGCTGAAGCAAAAATTAGTAACACTTAAATTACAAAGGTATTCTACTCCCAGGTATACACACAAGAGGCCTGAAAATAAATGCACAAAAAACATGTACGGGAATCAGCAGTATTCACAATAACCAAAAAATAGAAACAATACAAAAGTCTATCAATTGATGAATGGATAAATAACATACATGAATGTACATCTAGAGAAATATTAATGGATTTAAAGATTTATTTATTTATGTACACAAGATTAAAAAGGAGTAAGTACTGTACATACTACAACATGGATGAGCCTTGAAAAGGCATTGTGCTCCCTTGCAGAACTTAGCAAGCCCTAGGAAGATCCCAAGCAGACTTTTCCATGGTAGGACCTACTAGAACTTAGCAATTTTTTCAATGGGGCCAGAAAGCAGGACCATCTCAACAGGTCCCCAAAAAACCCCACAGAACCCAGCAAACCCTGGGGAGGGTCCTGGAAGGAACCCAGACCTCACAGGTCCTGGCAAGCAGTGGAACAGGCCCTGCCAAAAAAGAGCAAATATGACATGTTTCAGGCCAGTAGAGACCAGCATAAACTTAAGCAGAATTGACAGTGAAAATATTCATGATACACTGAGCAGAGGTGGGTGGAGAAGAATGTATGGGCTGTGATCTGGAGCAGGAAACACCAGTGGAAGGGTGGTCTGTTCAGCCAGAGCCCTGGGGAGAAAGTTGTGTAGAAGCATACTCCCTTGAAAGTGGGGAAAACCTAGCAGAAAAGGCGTTCATCAGCACTATTCCTTCAAACCCACTGGGACTGGTATTTTTTGAGGCATTAAGTGAGGGCACAGGGACTACCGAGTCTCCCATGTCAAAAAAATTAAAGGAGGGATATTGGTAATGTCACAAACACAAGCCAGTCCAAGCCCAAATCATTCACACCAACATCTGAATTCCTCTCAGTCCCTGCCCACACTGCTGATTCAGCAACAAGGAAATAGCTCTGAGCCAGCAAAAGATAAAATTTAAAAATAAAATAAAACAAACAAACCAACAGAGATTTTACAAACAATAATAAAATAGGGAGACCTCAAATAGCAAAAGGTGTAAACTAATTCATGTAAACACAGGATCCTTAAGAGAGTATAACATCACAAGGAGAGAACAACTCTCCAAAACACAAACATAAAAAAAAAAGAAAGAAAAATCACATCACATCTATTACATTAAAGAGTTCAGAACTGGGCCCTTACTGGTGGCACAACGGGTTAAAGCGCAGCACTTCAAGCTAGCCACAGCCACTTCAGTGCTAGTTCAATCCCAGTGCAGCCGAGGGTGATGTGAGGGTGACCCACGTGGCAGGGCAGAGCTCTCCTGACCCCCCTTCAACTGCTCTCTTCAGCAGTGTACTTCGTCAGTAAGCCCGTTCTGCTCCCCACTCTGTCTCTGGTGAATCCGTTCCTGCACCTCTGGCTTGTACCCCAGTTCTTTATGCATAAATAAATAAATCTTAAAAAAAAATACTTGAAGACAAAACATGCCACCAAGAATACTGCAAAACTCTTTCAGATCTGAGGGAGAAATTAAGATATTCCCAAACAAACAAAATCTAAGGGAACATGCAAACATTTGACCTTCCCTAAAAAAATTTTACACAGCAAATTAAATGAGATAAACAGCAAAAAACTAAAGACAAAATGGCAGTAGCAAATAACCTACATATTAATCCTCTAAATGTAAAAGGACTGAATTGGCCAATCAAAAGGCAGAGTGGGTGGTTAGAGCTTAGAAAAACAAACAATAACCCCCCTCCCAACCATTAAATTTGTTTTCTCCAGGAGAACCATTAGAACTCCAAAATTAACCATATGTTCAAAAATAAATGGCTGGAAAACAACCTCCAAACAAATGTGATGCAAAAAGGCTGGCAGGCCCTCCCTGGTGGCGCAGCAGGTTAAAGCACAGCACTGAGAATCTAAAACCGCTTCCGCATGAGTTCGATTCCCGCCTGCCCTGGAGGTGACCACATGGCGTGGCAGACCTCTCCTGACCCGCCCGCTGCTCCCCTCAGCAGTGTACTTCGTCGATCTGCCTGTTCTGTTCCCCACTCTGTCTCTGGTGAAGCCTCTCGCCGCCCCTGAGCTTCTGGCCTGGACCCCAGTTCTGTATGTACAAATAAATAAATCTTAAAAAAAAAAAAAAAAAAGGCTGGCAGAGCCATACATATAGCAAATAAAGTTACAATTTAAAAAGGTGACACGAGGGCTGTCCCTGGGCAAGGGGCTAAAGCGCAGAACTGCAAGTTAGCCACATCAACTTCAGTCCAAGTTTGATCCCAGCCCCAAGGTGATCCACATAGTGCAGCAGACCCACCTGCTGCTCTCATCAATCTGCCTATTCTGCTCTCCACTCTGTCTCTGGTGAAACCTCTCACCGCCCCTGCAACTCTGGCATGTACCCCAGTTCTATATGCATAAATAAATCAATCTTTTAAAAAAGGCAACAAGAAAAAAAAGATAGACAAATAGTGATTAAGGGATCAAAACATTGGGAAGACACAGCACTCACCAATATAATTACACCAAAGAAAGGAACACCAAAATAAATAATTATTAACAAACCTAAAAACAGACATTATCCTAAAAAGCATTACCGCAATTAATGGTAAGAGACTACAAAATTCTGTTTAGCTTAAATGGACAGAAAATAAACCATCAACCAGACAGAAAATAAACAAGTTAAAAATAACCATAAATAAATTATTAGATCAAATGGCTCTACTAGATATTTAAAGGTCAGTACAACCCCCAAAACCCCAAAAAGTTGAGTCCACATGGAACATTTTCCAGAATAAATGACATGATGGGTCACAAAAAAAAGTGTCAATGAATACAATTTTGTTGAATACAACAAAGTTCATGAATACTGCAATCATATCCAGCATCTTTGACAGTAGCAAACTAGAAA